GGACTGTCACATCTCGATACCGTGAATAAATAGGCCGATCAGACCTGAGTGCGCTGGGATCCTAACCAGCCCGCTCTCTTTTACTCTACGTCTAACAAAATCGACCCCCTGATCTGTACGCCACAGTCTCATCCTCCGGCCAACTTCTATACGCCGCAAAGCCTGCATCCGCGACATTCCCAGTGACGAGCGCTTTCTATTGAACATTCAGTGTCCTTTCTTTTAGTCTTGGCTACGGCCCAAGTCATCATTGCAGACGACGTTGTTTGAGTGCAGACCGGTTCACGCCCCACCTCTCAATCCCTTGAAATTCGTTTCTCAGATTAGGCATGCGGATAACTGGGCTATTTTGGGGGGCAACTAAACTGACCATGAGAAAATCAGTCCAAGCACCTACTTTCATTGTGGTTTTTGATGTTGATGCTGTTGAGCATGCAGCTTTGGTGTTTCTCTATTGCAAATTAGTCTTCATGGACCGGTCAATGAGCAAATCGGCAACCCCTGAATAGAACTGTGTTGGTTTCAATCTTAAAACTAGTATGTGCTGAACTACTTGTACATTTTGATCACATATCTCTGATTCATCCGACAATTTTTGTGGATGAAATGTGGATATTGATCAGCCTTGGAACCAGTAACATCATGCCAAAATTTTGGCGAGGTATGCCAAAACATCGAGGAGCCCCCGTCGGCTGCCTCTTGGAGCTAGAGGGACACACTGTCGACGGCAACTATAAGGCGTCAGATGATGAAACAAAAGGACCCGCTGCAATGACAAGAAACATCTGGAGTCATCTATGGAATCTGCTGCAGCTCCAAGCAAATGAACTACGTCGGAGGCCCTGGAAGACTTCTCAAGACGTGAATTGCCGAACACACTGAGTGCGCAGTGCGCAGAAATAATGCCAATTCTCAAGTCGAGGATCAGTCGGTGAGATCCGGCCACACATTCAGATTCGATGAGGCCGAACTTCTCGTGGGGGGTGATAATCTTGCGAGCCGCGAGTTGCTTACTTCATGGTTCACGGGCTTACAGTCTAGAAAAAAGTGCAATGGTCTCTCCAACCCTATTTGGCGCTGAGGGTCAGTTTGGCCAAAGGTATGCACGAATTGGAGAGCGCACAGACGAACGCATTTTCTAAAGCCAGCGCCAGGGAGTCAGGTGGGCGGGCAATCATCACGTCCACGTCCACCACTGGTGTCGAAAGTTCAACTGGTCACGACCCACATGCCGGTCATCAGGCAATTAGCGCACAAGCGGGAAGCTATCCTCGATAGGGAGAGTCGTTAATGGTCATGGGTACGCGGTAGAATAGCAAGTAGGTTCAAGAAAAACCGCAACTTCCTCGGTACTAAGTATCCTTTTCTGCTATTACCTTTGATGCTGGATCGGCGACGGAATCAGGCAAATAAAGTTCTTGCCCCAGACATCGCATCTGCTTTTCAATATCACATCCGTCCCCCTCCCCTCATCATGCCCACCTGATCTTTTACTAATGCCTCGTTTTGTTTCAGTGGGGAGTGTAAAGAGCTTACTGTGCTTAATAGTTCCCCTTTTCGACTTGGAATAAGGTAGCATTTAATATATTTGTTTTGCAGCATGTTGGCCATACCGGTTCGTTCATTTCATTTCACTTCTTTTTTGCGTTCCAGCGACGTGGATTAATTAACAAATTCCAAATTCCCCACTGGAATCTCATTCGTTGTCTGCAGGCGGTTGAATGTCACTACAGTACTACCACTCCCTACCACAACAAGATCCATGCTGCTGACGTCGTCCAATCGACGCACGTCCTCCTACAAGCGCCCGCCCTTGACGTAAGTAAAGCCGATTTGTTTTTTTCACACCTATTGTGAACTTTTGAGTAGTCCGTTTTTATAGAATAATTATTTATTGGATAAGTGAAGTAACGTTTGCCTTCCGAGGTGATATGATAAAAATAAAGAAGTACTTCGAAAAATCGAGTTGAACTCGTGGATCTTTTAAACAGGTAACACTTTCCCGTCGTCACACTAAATGAACAGTAAGGACTGGGATTGTCGGGTTTGGGAGCAGAGGTTTCATCGAACAGGCGTGGGGTGCGGGGGGATAAGGGATGTGCGAATCCAACTGCCTCGGATGTCAGGGTCAAGTCTCCTTCCCAAATGGCCATATAGTGCCACGGAAATGTTATTCTCTGTCTTACATGAATGGAACCTCTGAAAGCACCTCTCGACAATTAAGTCGTTTCGGCATCTCCGTAGCCCACAAGCCCACAT